GTTTATCTACCTTGCCTATTGTACTTACATTGAAACACATGCATTTCAGACCACCTCCCATGCTCTTTTCAGCAGTGTTTTTCTGTCTGTTCTTGTTCTTAGTCATGTTTGCCTTGGTTTCTATCTCCCCCTCAATTCCTGCCCTACTCCTCTGATTCCCAGCCCCATGCAGCACTAGTTTAAATCCACCTCAACCACACCTCTAAAGACAACAGTCCTGGTCCTGTCCAGGTGTAACCCATCCAGTTTTAACAGGTCCCACCTCCCCCAGAATCGGTCCCAGTGCCCCACGAATCTGAAACCCTGCCCCTCTCATCATCTTTTCAGCCACGTGTTCTTTATTGATTAACAGGATGAGGGTGTCGTTGGCCAGGCAGCATTTATTGCCCATCTCTAATTGCCCAGAGGACAGTTATGAGTCAACCACCTTGTTTTGGGTCTGGAGTCACATGTAGGCCAGACCAGGTAAGGATGGCAGTTTCCTTCCCTAAAGGACATTAGTCAGCCAGTGAATCAGTAACTGATACGTGTTCATCATTAGACTCTTAATTCTGGATGTTTATTGAATTCGAATTCTACTATCTGCTGTGGCAGGATTTGAGCCCAGGTCTCCAGAACATTACCTGGGTCTTTGGATTAGTCCAGTGATAATACCACTGGGCCATTGCCTCTATATATCCTGCTGTTTCTACTCTGACTGGCTCGTGGCACTAGTAGTAATCCTGAGATAGCTACCTTTGAGGTCCTACATTTTAACTTCCTTTCTAGCTCTTTATATTCTGCTTTTAGGACGGCATCCCTTTTTTTAACCTGTGTTGTTAGTACCAATGTATGCCATGACCACTGGCTGTTCGCCTTTCTTCTCCAGAATGACCTGCAACTACTCCGAGACATCCAGGACCTAGCACCAGGGAGGCAACACACCATCCTGGATTGCGGCCATACAAATGCCTATCTATTCTCCTTACAATTGAATCCCCTATAACTATAGCATTTCTATGCCTCTTTCTCCCTCCCTCTGCAGTAGAGCCAACCATGGTCCCAGAGGGGAGGCCATTCCCCTCAACAATATCCAAAATGGTACATCTGTTTTGCAGGGGAATAGCCACGGGAGATTCCTGCACTGCCTGCTTAGCCCTCCTGCACTGCCTGATGGTCACCCATTCCCTTCCTGCCTGTGGAGTCTGAGTCTGAGTCTGTGGTGTTACCACCTCTCTATACGTGCTATCCACAATACACTCCGCCTCACAAATGCTCCACAGTTTCCCCAACTCTAAAACTTGGGCTTCCAGGGTCTGCAGCTGGAGACACTTCTTGCATGCATGCAGGTCCCGGGCACTGGAAATGTGCCTGGCTTCTCACATTGAGCAAGAGGAGCAGACTATGAATTAGAGCTTTCGTGCCATGTCTTACCCCTTTAACTTTAATTAATCCTTTCGATGTCAAATACTTTTAATACTAAATTGAAGCTGCTGGTGCTGTCTGCTCTAACAATTTCTCAAAACTTACCTGCTACTCACCAACAACAGTTTCGGCTTGTACTGCTTTACTCGCTGGAACTCTCACTGATGACCTTACTCTCTCGATGTTCTGTCTCCTCTCATCTGAATCTTGCCTCTCTTTTTTGGTTAGAGGAGGAAGGAGGGATGGAAACACTACAGTAATGTAATTAAGGGTGATGCTGACCATCAAAGGAGAGGGAGAGGTTGGGAGAGAGAGAAGGGCTAAATCAAAATGGAATTGAAGAATGCATCGTCCAAGGAAGTGAGAAATGAACCCAGGCCTTTTGGCGCAGAGTTAGGGGCATTACCAGTGCACCAGAAAAGCCCGGGACCCCAGCTCTTTTTTTTGTCCAGAAGTGCACTTATACACAACTGAATGGTTTTTTTTGTTCCCTGTCACCAAAAAACACGTGGTTTTATTTTTCCATTATCGACCACTAGCAGTTGATTAATTTACACGCAAAGCCCATGAAGGACAATGCAAACCGTCAAAGGCAAGGGAGAGGTTGGAAGATGAAGAGCGGGCTAAATCAAAATGGAGTTCGAAGCGGAAAGGGGCCAGTTCTGTTTGTTTACGAGAAAGGATCAAATTACCTGAATTTACATGCATAATTCCAATAATGGAATAAAGTTAGCTTTATTCCAAAAGTGAAGCACTTCCTCTTACATGTTTAAGCACTAATGTGTGCCATATTCCTGATACATACAATAACTGTACAAAAGCAACACAAACTTCTCAAATACTGGCAAAACAATTACACGTAATAGTGATTAATTACTCCATTTCAAGCTCTTGTTCAAGTGTGCCAATCATTAGATAATCATCCTTGTTTCTGATAGTGCCAGTATTTCCCACACAAACATTTGTTCCAGTAGGGCCAGCTCTTAACTACAAAGTCCAATAAGCATCATATTTTCTCAATCAACTCAGGGGCTGTTCTGGTTGAGCCTGAAAGGGACCTGCATTTCTAACTCTGACAAAGTCATATTTGTTTTAAAAAATGTTAAGGGGTCAGATAAACTAGAGAACAACTGTTGCTACTAGTTGGAATGTATAATTCCAAGGGTCCAGATCTAAAAACTACAGCCAGAACTTTAAGAAGTGAATTTAGGAAATCTTTCTTCACTTTGTTTGGAACTCTTTTTCAAACGACAATTTCAAGCATCTTCTAAATCCACAACCTCTATTGTCTGCAAGGACAAGGGCAGCAGAATATGGGAACCACCACCTATAATAACCCCTCCAAGACACACCATTCTGACTTGGAACTATATCATCATTTCTGTTTTGGCCCTTATGTGGCATTAATTGATCTCCTAAGATTCTTAGTTGGTGGCTGGTTGAGAAGGTTGTCAGTAGAATCACAGAAGTGTTATGGTGCCAAGGGAGGCCGTTCGGCCCATCATGTCTGCAGCGGTTCTACTACTTAGTGCTAATCTCCTGCCTTTTCCCTATGTTCCTGCGCACCATTTTTATCCAGATAATCATCCAGTGCCCTCTTGAATGTCTCAATTGAACCTGCCTGCACCACATTTCCAGATAGTGTATTCCAAACCCTAACAACTTGCTGTGTACTGTTGTTTTATCTCTCACCCTTGCTTTGCTTGCACATCACTTTAAATCTTTGCCCTCTCATTCTTGTTTCTTTTGAATGGGCACAGCTTCTCCCTATCTAGTTTGTCCAGCCCACTCAAATCTCCTTTCAGCCTTCTTCTTTCCAAAACAACAGTCCCAACTTCTTCAATCTGTCTTCTTAACTGAAGTTTCCTATTCCTGGAGCTATTCTTGTGAATCATTTCTGTACTCTCTCCAATGCTTTCACATCTTTCTTACAATGGCCTCTTCACCCAGAAATTAATTACGTGGTGAGGAGGGAGTGTGTTTCATTTCAGTGCCAACTTGCCCAATTATTTCTCCTTCTTACCATTTCTAGGGAAAGAATAATCATGCCCAAGACATTGGGTTATATATCAGCCATGATTTAATTGAATAGTTGAATGGTCTGTGATAGTTGTGTGACCTACTCCTGCTCCTATATTATGCTTCTCTCCTTGTTATTTCTGCAATATTATTTAAGTGTTATTGTACAGAAATAGCTTTAGTTTTTAAGTGTTGGCTTCCTAAACTTAACAAACAAAATTGCATTTTTTTTTCATCTGTTTCACACATTAACTTTATGATCTTTAGGCAAGGACTTTAAACCAATTAACGGTGGAGGGGAATACGTAAGCTTATAAAGTAAAAAATATATGGTCGAATTGCAGGGCAACTATTTTTTAAATTATATTGAGAATGGCTTGGGAAGGGGTAGAGATGTTGATTATTCTTGAAGCTCAACTCATAATTTGTAATTTTAAGAAGTGTTTTTTTGGAAGAAGGGGTTAATTGAGAAACAGAATAAGTGAAAGTTAGGGCAAGTATAATAAAGCAATATAATTAAGCAAAGTAGGGCAAGACAAGTGTAGTTGGCATAAGTGAAGTAAATTAATAGGATTATTACATAAGCATAATTGTTTGTTATACAAGGGAATAGCTAATTGGCTTAAAGAAAGCCATGGCAGCCGATCTAGCACCAGTGATATGCTTCTCTTGTGCTATGTGGCACATCATAGAAGTGTGAGTTGCCCCTGGTGGCCATGTGTGCAGAAAGTGTTGTCCAGCTGTATCTACTGGCAAACCGCATTCTGGAGCTGGAGCTGTGGGAGAATTCACTGTGGAGCATGTCGTGGATAGTATGTTCAGTGAGGCGGTCACCACATAGGTAAAGACTGAACAGGCAGAAAGGGCATGGGTGACCACCAGACAGGAGTAGAGGAAGGCAGTTAGGACAGGAGTCCCTCCCCTCCTTTGTAGCCTTCTCCCTTTCTAATGGAAACACAGTTTTGGATACTGTTGGGGACTGTTCAGGGGGAAGCACTGGAAGCCAACTTCATGACACTGTGGGTAGGTCTGCTGCACAAGTGGAGAGGAAGAAGAAAGGCAGGTCTAAAGAGGTAGGGAATTCAATTTAAGGGAAACAGGCAGGCTTTTCTGCAATTGCAAAGGAGATGCCCGGATGGTACGTTGCTTCCTTGGTGCCAGGGTCAAGGATGTCACTGACTGGCTGCAGGGCATTCTGAAGGTGGGACAAACAGACAGAGATCTTGGTATATATTGGTACCAATAACTTAGACAGAAAAAATGGTGAGGTCTTGCAAACAGAATTTAGCGAGTTAAGAAGTAGATTAAAGAACAGGACCCAAAAGGTAAGATGTTTAATCATTAAGGAAATCAGAGGGTTATGTGAAAGTGGAATTGAGGATTATCTGATCAGTTATGGTCTAATTGAATGGTGGAGCAGACTTTATGGACCAAATGGTGTACTTCTGTGACCATATTGTATGGTCTTATCTGGACAGAAATAGAATTTCATCAACAAATTTGTGCATAGGAATCTCAACCTCAATCTTTATTGAATTGGACAGAAACACAAAATGAAATAAAACTTTCATTTTCAGGATCATCCAAACATTGATTCAGAGTCCTTTGTTGGAATGCATGTGACCTTCAGACAAGACCGCAGACCAGAAACCCAGCACATTCGTTCAGTGATATGGAGACTAGCAACAAAATACCTAAAACCAAATGAGTGGAAGAAACTTGCCCATTTCTGGAAGTTTACAGAAGCACATATAAAAGCCATTGAGCAACAATGGGCAGGTAGGAAATAACAATGCCTTTCAATGAATGTTGAGTATATTCACGCATCTCTCCACTTGACACTGCATGGCACAAATAGTAACATTCCCTACTTAAACTGGATAGTTAAAATCTCAAGGCTACCTGGCACAATATTACCCATACTGAGCAATTCCCTGCATAAATTTCCCACATCTAACAGATGCATTCTTCCACTTCCTTCTGTACACCATTTGTGGCTATGCCTTCAGCTGTTAAGGCCCTAACGATTTTGGAATTCCCTCTATTATCTGTAATTGGCACCTAACTCCTTCAACATTCACTCTCTCCATGACCAACACACAATAACAGATATGTGTACTAAAAGGCCATAATAAGACCATAGAATGTAGGAGCAGAAGTAGGCCATTGAGACCATCGAATATGCTCTCTCTTTCAATAAGCTCATGGTTGATCTTCAACTTCACTTTCCTGCCTTTTCCCTATAATCCTTAAATTCATTACCGTTTAAAAACTTCTCTATCTCAGCCTTGAATACTCTTAATGATCCCACCTCGACAATGATCCCTACGTGGTAAAGAATTCATAGATTGACGACCCTGTGAGAAAAGAAATTCCTCCTCATCTCTGTCTTTGAAATAACTACACAGAAGCTGATATCCTGTCAGCAAGTCACCCTTTATTGACATGTGCACAGTACATTTCCTCTGACTAGCCAGCTCAGAGCCAGTCCCTAGAATGAGGCGACTCTCTGAATTTCCTGTTTATATCTGTCAACCAGGGCTCCCTGACTGGCCTAGGTTAACAGTCCCAATGAAGGATCTCATAGCCAAGGAGATCCACCTGGCCTGTGTTCTATTCACTACACTAACCACGCCCCATGCCCTGCCTAAAGTCTGGGGATGTAGGCCTGTTCTTCCTGTTGTAGCTTCTCCTGGGACATTTTAGCCCCAGGTCCGGTTCTTCTGACCCTGACTTGGACAAGGGTGGCATGTACTGGGCTGTAGCCCAACCCTTGTGCCCAGAGCGTCTCAGGAGAGTTTCCTCCTCTTCTTCAGGTGGTAACAGTATCATCTCAGTGTTCATCTCAGACTCTGAGGTTTCTTTGACTGTAGAAGGAGGGGGAGAAACCATGGTTTCTAACAGTCTTTCTGGCTGCTCTGAAGGGCCAGGCATGTTTTGCTCCTGTTATGTTTGCGAGGTAGCAGTTTTGGTTTGGTCCAATGTTTGTTCAGGACTGCCTCACCTACCCAAACTTCGTATGTCACAGGACCTGACCTCTTGTCAGCCTTACCTCAAGGCTATTTCCATGGTTTTGTCACCAATCTTCATCCCGTGAAATAAACACTCTCTGTCGCTTAGAGGTTTTTATTACAAAATGAGGGTCATACGCATATGTATCAGAAGTGATTAAACAGGATTCGTACCCATGAACGTATAATCCATAGGATTAAGAAATGTTAGTCCACTTATCTCTACATTAGAGAATGCTAGAGAAAGAAAAATATTAGGCCTATATGAGTTAACTGAGTTGGGAATTATATACGTACTTAATGAAGTAGAGAGAGAGTAGTAAACTGAGTCCGCAGCTGGGTCTTCGGATTTCACTACTATTGCCGGTTCTCTCATTCATTCATTCAATTTCATGGAAGCACTATTTGGTGGTAGTGAAATGTCAAGACTGCAGTTCTATGAATGGATGGATGGAACACGGTAATAGGAAACCCAGTGTGCTGGAGCGTAGGTGGTAAAGTTATGAATGAACCAGAATGCGGTATTAGTAGTTAATATAGAACACACGTGAATGGGTGGTTAGGTGAAGGTTATGAATGAACTAGGACACAGTAGTAGTAGTAAATATGGAGCGCTTGTGAATGTGTCGGTAAAAGGGACCTTTATGACTAAGGTAAAGAGGCCCATAATACGATATCTCACAAAACCATAGAATAGGATACTTTAAAATGATTAGTAGATATGTAATGTGTAGCGATTTGATGCAATTAAAATGCCTGACTAATTGAATTATAAATTTGATGTAATTAATTTACAGACTTGATCTAATCCACTGCATAGTAACAGTTAGCCTGTAGATTTAGGTAATTTCAATGTAAGAACACATAAAAATAGTGTTGCAATAGTGTGCCTTTTTAATAGGCTCATGGAGACCATGAATTGACTTGAGGTCTTTATGCCCAGTCTTGGCGATAGTTCTCTTTTCCACTGGGCGAATTTGACAGTGAGACTTGTGTGTTGCTTCCAGATGATGATGATCTCAATGAAGTAGATCCTGATTATGTTTCATGTGATCATGGTTGTCCTGGGGGAATATGAAGGTCGTTTCTGTTGTTATCCTCATTTAATATCTGAATAGTTTATAACGTGTAATGCACACACTCTAATCCTACCCCCTTTTTTAATGAACACCCAAATTTGATTCGGGTGTAAACAAATAATTGTGGTTAATCCAACTAGAATTTACAAGAATGTGAGTTGGTCCCACAGGACCTATAGAGAAGTGTGAATTGCATACGAGTGCTGACCATCAGAAACAGTTGTACCTCGCCTGGGGTGGTCACCAGGAATGGTTTCATCCTCTGGGTTAATGACTCAATACATTCATTGAGTAGGCACCCAACAGAGACTCATCAGTTTGTTCTGAATCCTCTGTCTCTTTGGGCCCGAAGATATTGTGTCCTCCAGGTTCCCATGTTCGCGTGCTGTCATTCCCCTAGTGGTGATGCCGTTAACGCCGAAGAATTCTACCTGATGGTTTGTTTTTCCCTTGTCCACACTAGTCTTGCAGCACTGTCTCATTTCCATGTTGTGGATACGCTCTTTGGGGTCTGAATTGTAAGGGCTTGGGTTCTTTCAATTTTTTTCTCTGGGGAGTTGTTGGAAAGTTCTGTCATGTCTGGGCTGTCTGTCAAGTTGTTCCGATTGGTTAGAGAAATCAAGTCCTCCGATAAGTCAATTAGATTGTCTGGGGCTCCATTATTCATTGGAGCTGTAGTCGATGGGAGAGTATAAATTTGGTCAGGGGTCCGGTCCAGCTGAGAGCATGTGTCGGGGGTGTCCTTGGTCTTGTCACATGCTGCAGGGCAGTGTCATCCACCATGCTTATTTTGAGGTGGTGAGAGTGGTTGTGTTGAGTGCCATATGTTTTTAATTGGTTTACATGGTACCAGCTGGTCTTTCTTGTGGCTAGTAGAACCTTGTATACCAAGGGACTTGCTTTATCGACCACAGTGTAGGGACATGAGTATTTAGGAAAAAGAAAGGAACTAAGGTTGTATATCTGTGGCATCATCTGTTGTCCTAAAGAATATTCGACAGGGTTACCTTTACTGTCAAAGTAAGTTTTACTTAATTTCCTTTTGGTTCCTAACCTGACAACTGCTTCTAACTGCATGGCCTTGATATTTTTGGTGAGTTGCCGCACCGCTTTTTTGTGGGTGAGGACAGTGATGGCAGGTTCTGTGAGGTCAAGTCCGAACAGGTAGTCAACCCCTCTCGTGGGTTAGCGTGTCATTAGGGTCTGGAGTATATACCCTGTGGATCGTGAGATGGTGTTGCGTATCGTCATAGGGACAAACAGAAGTACTGTGTCCCAGGCTTTATTGTTCTGCTGCACCGTCTTCCGAATCATCCCTTTTAGGATGCGATTCATCCTTTCCACGATCCCACTAGATTGGGGTTTGGTATGCGATGTGGAATTTCTGTTTGATACCAAGCATAGACATCACATTCTACGTGACTCGGCCAGTGAAATGACTTTCCTGATCTGACTCAAAACTGCTGGGTAAACCCCATCGCGTAAATACATATTGTATTAGGATTTGTGCTTTGTTCTGGCTGTATTTGTCCTAACAGGAAAAGCCTCAACCCATTTTGTGAATGTATCTATGATTACCAGAATATAGGTAAATCCATTTCTTCTACGTGGAAGGGGACCTATGTAATTAATTTGTAAGTTCGTCCAGGGCCCTTCCACTGGATGGGTGTGCTCAGTTCTCCCTTTTGGGCTTACCTGTCTGGATTATTTTGGGCACATGCCAGACAATTTTCTATGTTATGTGATACATTCTTATGTAACTCAGGCTAACAACACAGTTCTTTAAATCATTCAGTAGTGGCTTCAATTCCCTGGTGTCCGAGCCCATCATGGTTTGGGAGATGATCTGATTTCTGTCTTGAATCGGAACTACATAAACTTCTGCTTTTAGAACCAATCCGTCCCATACTTGTAAGGAACTTTTCCATTTATCATTAACACCTGGATAAACTACTCCCAAAATCTGTTTCAAAGAATCATCATGACATTGTGCTTGCCTAAGGTCCTGTATGTTCATTTGGCTCTCAGTGATTGCATTTGCCTGCTCTACTATGATAGCTGCCAGAATTCTCTTACATGAGCATCTCTCTTAGCTAACTCATCCGCTTTGCGGTTGCCTTCTGGGAATGTTTTGTGGTGGCTCCTAACTTTGATTATGTCATGAGATAGTAGGAACTGCAGATGCTGGAGAATCCGAGACAACAAGGTGCAGGGCTGGATGAACACAGCAGGCCAAGCAGCATCATAGGAGCAGAGAGGCTGACGTTTCGGGCCTGCTGTGTTCATCCAGCCCTGCACCTTGTTGTCTTTGATTATGTCATACTTCCTTTCACCAGCGGCCTGTAGTATGTATTTTAATAAGGGGGCTGATGGTAGTGGTTTCCCATTTGCAGAGATAAAACCGTTCCCATAATGGTAAAAATTCTGTGAGGCTGTTGCATACAGACATGCCATCAGAGTATATGTCCGTGGGTGGAGGGAACAGATTGGGATGGCTGACCACATGGGCTACAGCTGCGAGTTTTGCAGCTTTGGCACTTAGATGGTTCGTTAATTTTAAAGCAAGTTCAATGAGTGATTATCCCTGCTTGTCTGTCATACATATACCACAGCCAGTGATCCAACTGCCATCCTCCACTGTGGAGGATCCATCTACACAGATTTTGACTGCAGTTTTTACCTGTTTATC